GAAATCCATGTGTATAACCTGTGTTTGTGTCTCTTATAAAATGTATTTGCAATGAATAAGTCATTGATTGTGCAAAATGCAATCATTCTATCTCCAGCTTCATTCCTGTCACCAAGCCCATGTTTTCCAACTACTGATTCTTCTTCACTATTCCCAACTTTTGCATTCCAGTCACCCGTTATTATAAATGCATCTTGATTGCATGTTCGATCTATCTCCGACTAGCTACCGGTAATCTTTGGCATTCCTGGACTTACAGATACATGTGTTTCTGTCATCTTTCTTCCTTCTTTCCTTTGTATGTCTTTGTGTCTATTCTGCTCTTTTTCCCAATTCAAAAGTAATCAGATTTAGAGACCATTCTTCTGTGGTATGAATTCATTAAACCAGCAAAAAGAAATAATCATTTTTACTAGACAGAGGTTAGGAATTCAACATATGTTTTTGTGGAACACAATTCATTGTAGAGCAGTATGAAAACAGACCTTCTGATCTAGTAAGTAAATACTCTATGACGTTCCATGTTCTTGAAATATTTCATAATTTTCATTGTGGGACTGTGGTATAGTGTATACAATGAATGGCTGAATGACTAACTCTTTACCCTCCCCCAAAGCCTGAGCTTTGATATCTTTCTCAGTATCTTAGGTCCTCGGAAACTATGCTTCTGTCTTCTCTAGCCAATGCTTACTTATCTGGACTTGTAATCAGAGTGATTTCCCTGAACTTAAGACAAAAATGTAGAATTGGGATTTTCATACTGCACCAGGAAATGCTAGTTTCACCTTCTTTTTATTATTCCTTGTAGAGTCCTGCCTATTTATTCATATGTTCTTCATATTGGACATTTAATGTGACTTTTTATCTCTAATCTCCAAATTTCTCCATGCGTTATCCTGTGCACCTCTCCCTGCCAGAATGAACCTGAACATACCCCTGTATTTGACATTTCCATACCATTCACCTAGTGCACAGTACTGACTCACCTACCAATTTATCCCATTCCCATATTTTAAATTGCTCCCTCAGATGATGTCCACATTTGGTCTGAGATAAGTGTTTATGGCCTGCCAATGAATGCTTCAGTGTTTCAGAGTCCAAAGTTTCCACATTCATAACACATATCATTTTATGTGGATAGTCCAGGAAGAATGGTGGTTTGCTATTAACTCTTGTGGAGATACTTCCTGTCTCCTATAGTTTGGTCTAATTTTTAATTTTTAGTCCTGTTTTGGCAGAAAAAGGACGATCCATTCATGCCCCTCTTGTTTATATTGGCTCTCAGTTTCCTCAAGCTGGTGTCAGGTAAGTCTTTTGAGCTGCACTGCTCTCTATCTTCTTCTTGTTCATAATTATTTGAATACAGTGATCATAGGATAGTGGGAGTGGAGGAAACTTTGCTGTTTGCATCTGTAACCTCTGCTAGTCCCAGTCTAGCATTCCTCAATTCCAGGTCTATGGGAGGAATGGAGCAGCAGGGAAGACTCAGCATTGTGGAAATGAGTTGCCAAAAGTAATGTGATAGAAGTGCTGATGAGAGGCTGAAATAGTGGGGAGGAGACACATCAAAGTTACTAAAATAAGTAAATCAAAATTTCAGGTGACTTTGAAGTTTAGGCAGTTGAGGTCTTTAGGCATATGACTTGGATGCGAGTGTGGAAAGAGAAACTACTAAAGAAGTCTGATGAAATGGTATTGTATCCAGTTGTAGCTGTGATAAATGAGAAATACCTGTGGTATGAGAGTCAAGAGAGGGCTCTTTAAATGAATAATACATCAGAACCTGTGATATTAAGATTGGAAATGTTCTTTCTCCTTCTATTTGCCATCACCATAGAGGCTGGTATACAGGGAGTGTATAAAATTTGAAAGAGGAGAGTCTAATACAGATCTAACATATCCATAAAGATCAAACCAGCTATATTTTCCTTCTCTCTGTACAGGTCCATCTGCCACCTGACTACTAACATCTTTTTCCTAAACAAAGAAAAGGAAAATAAAAGTCTTTATTTCCACAGCAATATTCCTATGAATTACTCACAGAATGGCCCTGTAACTAAGTTTATTCTCCTTCATTTTCTGAGGATCTTTCTTTTCTTTGCAAGGCATCAAGAGCAGATTACCCAATAAGCAAAGTAAGTACAGGTTTACATGTGCCATTTGCTAATTTGTAAAGAATAATTTCACATAGCAAAGCATGTGTAAGACTGTATTTACCTTGATTTTTGGATAATCTACCCCTGGAGTCACAGATACTGTTGTTGTGTACCATCAAGTCAGAACTGACAAGATCCCAGCAGGTTTTAAGAGGCAGTGAATTGCACAGGAGGGGATTGCCTTTGCTTCTTGTGTGGAGTGGCTGGTGGATTCAAACCACATGCCTTTGAGATTGCAGGGCAAGAGACAAAGATAGGTGTGGGGTTTTTAAAAAAATGCTTATTTTATTGATTAATTATCCTTGTTCATAATAATTTCTCTTTGCAATATATACTTTTTCAGAAGGGCTAAACTTTGGAAAAGGACAACATACTTGGATCATAGGACTTTTATGATATTACATGAAATTTTGTGTGTAAAGCAATCTACTGTTTTAGTACCTGAAATGTGTTCAACCACATAAAATTCTTCCCTTGATGTTCCCAGGAAAAGGAAAATCAAAGAGTAGCAAGGAAAGTGACAGCAGTAAGGACTGATCAGATGAATCAAGGAGACTCTGAAAACCCTCTCTGGACTCTATAGACTTACTCAGCTCTGAGATAGCACCAATTGTAGCCCAGCTAACTTGCACTGGAATCTCTAGAACAGATCAAAGTTCAGGTGTGTTGTTAGGAGGGAACAAAAGTGAGACTCTTGTTACAAAAGGTCTGGGAAAAGAGGGGGAAAGAGGTGTGCTGATGAATAAATTCTACTGTGGAAAACTTGAGACTGAGTTTCACTTAGACCTTTTGAGGAACCATGTGGACCATGACTGAGAATCACTTAATAAATTGCCAGTGGGCTGAGAGTTTAACCCTGTCTGTTGTCCTCTATTGGATAACATGTTCCTCTCAAAAACCAAAACCAAACTCACTGCCATCAAATCTATTCCAACTCAGAGTAGCCTTCATAGGATTTTTGGCAGTCTCTTTAAGGAAGGATACCTCTCTTTCTCTCAAGCAACAGTGGATGGATTTGAATTACTGGAGATGCACAGTATTTGGTTAGCAGCTTAGCATGCTACAGATTATATTTCCTAAAATTTTCTCTCTCTTTCTCTTTGCCATGGAATCAGAACAAACTCATAGTTAACCCTCCCCGTTTCAGAGGCTGTATATTGCTTGGGAAGAGATTGCCCAGATTTTTCCCAAGGAGGAGCTAATTGATTGGAACTGTTTACCTTTCAGTTGGCAGTGCAGTTCCTTACCCACTAGGCCACCAAAGCTCCCTAAAATGTTCCCCCTGCTGTTGTTGTTGTTCACAGTTGAGTTAGAACTGACCCTCCAGTGGGCTTTCAGAGGCAGTTAATCACATAAGAGATTACCCATCCTTCTCCTATGGAGCAGCTGGTGGATTTGAACCATGTAGTTTTGGGATTGCAGTGCAGCCTTTTAGCCACTACGTTATCAGAGGTCCCCAAAATGTTCCCCTGATGTTTGTTGTTGTCTTGTGCCATCAAGTCATTTAAGCAACCCTATGTACAACAGCCCTGAAACCTGCTCTATCCTTTGCTAATCTTATTGTCTCTGACACACCTACCTTCATTACCCCAGTCACTCAATCAATCCATCTCATCAAGGGTCTTCCTCTCTTGTGCTTTCCCTCCACCCTTCAAGCATGATGTCCCTCTCCAAGGACTGGTCCCTCCTTGAAATAAACCCACAGGATGTCAGACAAAGCCTCAGAATCCTTGACTCCAAGGAGCATCCTGGTTTTGCCCTTTCTAGGAAGAACCTGTTTGTTTTCCTAGCAGTCTACAATATATTCAAAATTCTTCTCCAGCACCACAGCTCAAAGACATTGATTGCCTGTTTTTGTTGATTGCTGTTGAGTTGAGCACGACTCATAGTGACCCTATGAACCAAAGAACTGAACCCTTTCTGTAACTATCATTGTTTCTCTAAGTTCATAGAGTTTCCAGAGGCATGTTTTAGGAAGTGGATGCCACTCTTGCCTCCAAACACAAAAACAATCTGGGAGATCCTCCAAACACTGTCCACTGTGGGTAACCATTATGGCATTTGACACCCAATAAATAGTACAGGTTTCAACATCACAGAAAGCACAGGTTACTGCAGTACAGAAAATTAACAGACCAATGCTGTGCCATTTAGAAGAATGCTCCAAAATATAGTAACAACTGACCTTTAAATACAAAGGCTCTTCATGAGGTGGTGCTGACTCTAAACAAGAGGCTTAAAACAAACTCCAAAAACCCAAGCAAACATTTCACACCGAGCCTCAACCAAAACTAGAGAGCCCACCTTTCAATTCTCCTAAGATTGTTAAAAATCTCAGTACTATAGGATGTCTCAATGCTCCAGTAGAATCTTTAGTCTCTTCTGACATCTATTTTGATTTTTTTTTCTTTCTCCTCTATTTTTGTAATGAGCTTTTGCTTTCTTCATGGATGATATCATGATATCATTCCACAACTCCTCTGGTCTTCTATCATTGGTGTTAAATGTCTCAAAGCTATTCTTAAGATGATCATAAAATTCAGATGGAATTAATTCAAAATAATATCTTGGTTCCTGCAGACTTATTTTAGTTTTCTTCAGCCTCAATTGTAACTTTCCTATGAGTAATTGATCTGACCCACAGTCTGCCCCTGGTGATAGTTTTGACTGCTGATATTTTTGATATAGAAAACAAAGATTCTTACCACTAGTCCAATAGACAGTGTCATGATGGTTGGAGAGGAAATAAAAACTGTCAACAGCTTCATCTTGCTTGAATCCACAATTAATGCCCTTGGTACAAGCAGTCAGGAAATAAGGAGACACATTGCACTGGGAAAATCGGCCTTTAGGGACCTTTCCAAATTATTGAGGAGTAGTGATGTCAGTCTGAGGACTAAAGTGCATCTGATTCAGGCCATAGTCTTTCCAATTACTAGCTATGCATCCCATACCTGGACAATGAATAAGGATGATAGGAAAAAGAATTGATGCCTTTGAGCTATGGTGTTGGAGGAGAGTACTGAACATCTCATGGATGTTCCAAGAGAACTAACAAATATGTCTTGGAGATGGTGTGGCCAGAGTGCTCTTTGGAGGCAAGAATGATGAGGCTTCACCTCCCATTCTTTGGAAATGTTTCTAGGAGGTGCTATTCCTTGGAGAGGGACATGATGTTGGGGAGGGTGGAGGGTTTATGAAGGAGAGGAAGACCTTCAACCAGTGGATTGACAGGATGACTGCCAAATGGACTTTTGTGTGTCAGGAAGTGTGAGAATGGCCCAGGACAGGACTGGGTTCAAATCTTTTGTTCATGGGGTCACTATTTGTCATATTCAACTCAACAGCACGCTGCTACTACTACTACTTACTACTACTACTACTACTACTACTACTACTACTACTACTACTACTACTACTACTAGACTTCTCTTTACCCTGATGTGATGCACTGGAAACCTTGCTGCAACATCAAGTTTTACAGGCAAGCATTTTCTAGTTTGCTGTGATCTTAGCAAGGAAATCTAACTGATGGTTAGAAAGCTTAAGAGAAATTTTGGTTAAAGAGGAATGAGAAAAGAATGTTTAGCCAAAAATACAGAATCCTTAGATGAAACAAGATTGTTGACTAGCTTTTCTGAGGGCTGTTGAGCTCATTACTATTAGGGAAGAGCCAAAATAAACAACAATAAAAAAATCTTTTAAAATTGAAATAGGAATTGGGGTGGACATCCTAAGATCTGAACTAGTTATGTTGAATTCTCTGAGGATGTGCTGGGGTTAGGGGTTTTGTGAAGCAGTGACATGATTTTTTTTTAATACCAAAATTACCTGGACAATTGTAAAAGAGGTTAAATGTTTTTTAGAAAAAAAAGGTGGAGAGGGACTATCATGAGTTTTAGTGAAGTAGATAAACAGATGGAAAAAATTGATATAGATTTTTCACTTATCAGAAGTTCTGCATTTAGATAGTGCCTCTCTTGCCTCTGAATAATTGACATGGGCTTTTTGAGGAACATTTTTCTCATTTTATATTGGAGGACATTAATAACATAGAAATGCATTTTTGTGAGAACCGAAATAATGGGAAAGTATTTTGTCAATCATAAGATGCTGTTGTCATCTCCGACTTGTAATGACTCTATGTACAATAGAACAAAACACTACTCGACCTTTCACCATCCTCACATTCTCTGCTATGTGTAAGTCCATCGCTGCTGCTATTTTGCCAATCATTGTAAGGAGATATGCACATATGCACATAGAAATCATTGGATTTAGAAAGGAGATGATCGTAATTATTGCACACCAGCCCATTCCCTACTCTGAAGACATGTTGGGTGGGTTTTCTCCATAACCTGTTGTGTTTCTTTCTACAGGACAGTGGCAAGTGATTGGACCAGGCAAGCCTGTCCAGGTCTTGGTTGGGGAGGATGCAACATTCTCCTGTGCACTCTCCCCTGAGATGAATGCAGAAGCCATGGAGGTGCGATTCTTCAGGAGTCAGTTCTCTGCCGTGGTCCATATGTACAGTGAAGGGGATGACCAGATACATATGCAAATGCCAGCCTATCAAGGAAGAACTGAGTTTGTGAAGGACTTTATCACACAAGGGCGTGTCTTCCTAAAACTGAAAAACATCACTACCTCTGACGCTGGTGTGTATGGTTGCTGGTTCAGATCCCAGACTTATTATCATGATGACATCTGGGAGCTGCAAGTTTCAGGTCAGTTGCTTTTCAAAAAAGAATAATATTTTTGTGTGTTTCAGGAAAGGTACAAGTTTATACAACAAATTATATCCTCTTTAAAAATTGTATACATATTATTTTATGCCATTGGTAACACTGTTTACAGTATGTACATATTCTCATTATTTTCATTTTGTTTATTCTGTTTCCACGGATCTAGCTTCCCATTCCCTCCTTGACTTATCTTTGTTTTTGGTCTCATAGAGTTAACACTTTAAGGAGACATATCACTCATAGGTGACACTTTTTGTTTTATAAACCAATCTGTTATTTAGCTAAAAGTTGGCTTGCAGAAAGAGCTTCAATTCCAAGCTAAAAGCTATCTTAGGGCATAGTCTTCATTAGTCAAATAGGTCTGTCATTTCTCTAGGAATCTGCATTTTGTTTTATGTTTTTCTCCCATTCTATCCAGAACTTTCTATTGTGCCCCTGTTCAGAACAGTTGATAGTGATAGCAGATCATCATCTAGTTTTACTGGTCTCAGCTTTGAAGAGGTTGTGATTCACAATGGTTATTAGTCTATGGGTTATTTTCCTCTTTGAACCTTTGCTTTTTCTCTTTTGCTTTTGTTCCATGTGAGTATAGACCAATATTGTATTATAGCATTTACTAAAATAATTCTCTTTTCTCATGCACGTTTTAATGTCTACTAATCTTGCTGTGCTGATTTCACCAATATTTTTTACTACTTTTCCCAGTAACAAAGTAATTAATTATCTACTATCTAAAAAGATAGATATTGTCCTCCTTTTCCCTCCTTCTTTCATCAAAGAATTTTGCCTTCTATGTATATATCTGTTCCTGACTTTTTAAATAGTGAGACAATAAGACATATTTGGTGATAAATTTATTCATGTCAACATCCTCCCTCCAGATGTTATCCATGTTTTGGAGACTCCTCATTTTTCTTTATAGTTTTTTTTGTAGTATCCCATTTTATGTGCCACAATGGCTTATCCATTCATCTGTATCTGAACAATTAGGTTTCCACATTTTTTGCGATTATAACAAATACTGCAATGAACATAGATATACAGATGTTTCTTGACATCACTGCTCTTACATATCTAGGATATATATCTAGAAGAGGAATTGCTGTGCCATAATGTCTTTCTATTTTAAATTTTTGATGAACTATCACACTGTTTCCTATTATAATTGTATAATTTTACAATCCCACCAGCGATGTACAGATTCTAATCCCCATAACAGTATTTGTTGTTTTCTGTGTGTTTTTTTAAAAAAATTACAAATAATTACCTTTTTAATAGGGATGAAATAGTACTTTATGGTAATATTGATTTGCATATCTCTAGGAAATAATGACCAACAGTCAATATTATGATAGAGAAAGGATTGCAGATGTCAGTTATTTCATCTTGTTTGTATCAATAATCATGACTCTTGGTACTGACTGGTCTTTCCTGACAACATGCTCAAAATATATGAAGTTTCACCATACTTGCCTCTAAGGAGAAGCCTAGTTGCACTTTTTCCAAGACAGAATTGTCTGTCTTTATGGCAATCTATGGGATATTTAATACTCTTCTCCAACATCACAATACAAAGGCATCAATTGTTTTTATTCGTTGTCATCTTTATTTATTGTCCAACTTTCAGATGCTTTAGCAGCCATTGAAAATACCATGACTTCCATCAGGCACACTTTAGTCTTTAAACTGACGTTCTTGCTTTTTAGCACTTTGGAAAGGTTCTTGACAGCAGATTTTCCCAGTGAGCATGTCTTTCTTTTTGCTTTAAAATTTTATTGTATACTGGTTTACATACAAAGTTCATAAAGTTCATATTCATTGTTTTTCACACTGGACCTTCCCCCTTTCCTTTTATCAGACCCTTTCTCTCTCTCCATCAAATTATGTGACCCTATATTTAACACCCTCCACTTCGATCCTTGTATATGCTCTACAATAATGGTCTTATACAGTATTTGTCTTTATGAGACTGAGTTAGTTCGTACAGCATAATGCTCTCCAGTCTCTCCCATGTTAGGGATTAATTTACTAAATCATTTCTCCTGTGTGCTGCATAGTATCCCATTGTGTGAATGTGCCATAATTTCTCAATCCATTCCATTGTGGTTTTGGGCACTTGGGCTGTTTCCATGTTCTTGCTATGGTGAATAATGCTGGTATGAATATTGGTGTGCAAGTCTCTGTTTGTGCCTCAGTTCTCATTTTCTTAGGGTGTATTCCAAGCAGTGGAATAGCTGGGTAATATGGACTTTCTATGTTCAGGTTTTTGAGGAAACACCAAACTGTTTTCCAGAGTTGTTGTACCATTTAACAGTCCCACCCACAAGTATAAGAGTTCCTATCTCATCACATCCTCTCCAACATTTATTACTTGATGCTCTGCTACATCTGGAGGACAGCCAGCTGGCTGACTGACTGGAAAAGATAGATATTTGTTCCCATTCCAAAGAAAGGTGACCCAATAGAGTGCAGAAATTATCGAACGATATCATTGATATCACATGCAAGCAAGATTCTGCTGAAAATTATCCAAAAACATTTGGAACAATATGTCAACAGAGAACTGCCAGATGTGTGGGCTGGACTTAGAAGAGGTCGTGATACTAGGGATATTATAGCTAATGTTAGATGGATCTTGACAGAAAGCAAAGAATCCCAGAAGAACGTCTATCTGTGCTTCATTGACTATGCAATGACTTTTTTTTGACTGTGTAACTCACAACAAGCTGTGGCTGACTCCGAGAAGAATGGGAATCCCAGAACATTTGATTGTGCTAATGCAAAACCTATACTTGGACCAAGAAGCAGTCGTCAGAACAGAGCAAGGAGATACTACATGGTTCAAAATCAAGAAGGGGGTCCGTCAAGGATGTATTCTGTCTCCATACCTTTTCAATCTCTATGCGGAACAGATCGTCTGAGACACTGGGCTGTACGAGGAGGAATGTGGCATCAGGATTGGTGGAAGAATCATCAACAACCTGTGTTATACACATGACACAACCCTGCTTGCTGAAACTGAGGAGGACCTGAAGTGCTTGCTACAGAAAGTCAAGGACTGCAGCTTCTATATGGATTGAAGCTCAACATCAAGAAAAGAAAGATTCTCACCACTGGGCCAATTGGCAGCATTGGAAAGTGAAGAGATTGAGATAGTTAACAGTTTTAGTTTGCCTGGCTCCACAGTCAGCACTCTTGGTAATAGCAGCCAGGAAATCAAGAGACGAATTGCATTGAGAAGGTCAGCTGTGAGGGACCTCTCCAGAGTACTGAAGAGCAACAATGTCAGGCTGGAGACTAAGGTGCTCCTGATCCGGGATATAGTCTCCGCAATTACGTGCTATGTGTCAGAGAGTTGGACAGTGAATAGGGATGATAGAAAGAGAATTGATGTCTTTGAGCTCTGGTGCTGGAGAAGAGTGTTGAATATGCCATGGACTGGTAGGAGAACAAACAGGTTTGTCCTGGAGAAGGTGAAGACAGAATGCTCCTTGGAGTCAAGGATTCTGAAGCTTCGTCTGACATACTTTGGGTATGTTGCAAGGAGGGACTGGTCCTTAGAGAAGGACATCATGTTTGTCAGAGTGGAGTGGTGGTGAAGGAGAGGAAGACCTTCAATGAGATGGATTGATTCTGTGACTGGAGTGGTGGGAATGAATGTGTTTGAGATGGCTAGGTTGGCACACGATAGAACGGTAGGGTTGCTATGAGTTGCAAGTGACTCAATGGCACACAACAACAACAACAACTGCTCAACTTTGCCACTGCTACTGGGGTAAGACGATATCTCATTGTGGTTTTGATTTGCACTGACTGCTGTTACCATGAATATTGATAGTGGATCCAAATAAAATGAAATAATTGGCAATGAAATAATTCCCCCATTTAAAATGGTGTTGCCTAGTGGTCTAGTGGTGAAAATTTTTGTTTTCTTTTTTTAAATTTTTTAAAA